TCATCATCATCATCATCATCATCATCATCATCATCATCGTCCACATTATCATTGCCCTCATCATCATCACCATCACAAACTTCATCAGCATCATAGCCAGCATCACCATGACCACCAAAATGGTCATCATCCTCATCACCACCATCACGATCAGCATCACCACCACCACTATCATGACCACCATCATCATGGCCACCATCAGTGGCATCATCAGCATCATCATCAGCAGCATCACCACCAAAATGATCATCATCAGAATCAGCATACTCATCATCATCATCCGCATCACCATCACCATCATCATCATCATCATCATCATCATCATCATCATAATCATCATCATCGTCATCATCATCATCATCATAACCATCATCATCATCATCATCATCATCATCATCATCATCATCATCATCATCATCATCATCATCTTCATCAGCAGCAGCATCATCTTCATCATGCATGATCATCGCCACCATCATCCAACAACCATCCAACTCCACCCCTTTCTACATCTCCTCCTCCTCCTCCACCTCCTCATCCTCCTCGTGATCATGATCGTGTGATCATGGTGTTGTTTCTCCTTTGCCTCCACCTCATCATCCTGTTTCCTACACATATTCATCCTCTCATTCCTCCTCCTCCTCCTTCTCCTCCTCCTCCTCTTCCTGCTCATGCCCCTCTGCCTCCTCCATATCCATATTCATATCCATGTCTTTCTCCATATCCTCGTGCTGGTCATCCATCTCCCTCCTCCACCTCATCATCCTCATGATTCAGATCCTACCCTTCCTCCTCCTGATACTCCGCCTCCTGATCCTCCTCCTCCTCATCCGAATCTTCCTACTCCTGCTGCCCATCCTCCTCGTCCCCATCCTCTTCCGCATCCTCCTCCCCTCCCTCCTCCGCCGCCACCTCCACCTCGTTGCCCAGAGGAACTGCCGATGCCTGGCCCCGGGTATTGTTGGCGGGGAGAAGGCTGTCTTGTGCTGAGCAGGGTCTCGTTGGACCGCACGCTGTGCTTAATGTACAGGCCCGCGATCTTGTCGGCACGCCCGAGCTTCTTCAGCAGCTCGGCCACCTTCTTCACGCAGGCCTCCGCCTCGGGGTGACCCACCCCGTACACCTCCTCGAGGGGTGGCCAAAGATACCAACACCGCAGCTCCCCAGACGTCTCCCTGGGGGATCGTGCTGACCAGGACTGCAAGACGAATCCAGCCGTGGTGCCGAGGGCCCTCCAGGACGAGCATCGGTATCGGCACTCTTCCTCCTCCAGGAATGCGAATTGGCATAAGCATAGGCTCTCGGAGATCCGCGCGGGTGTCTCGAATTGGCGCTGGGACCCCGCCCGGGGCGCCGCCGAGGGGGGCGACCAGCGGCGATCTGAGCAATCCGAGCGGACCTCCGAAAGTGCATGCTTTATGCATGGGAGCAGGATGAGTATCGCTTCACCGAGCCCCATCCCCGGCGGCGTGGCCTGGGCCCCACTGGCCGATCTCCCCCCCCAGATGGGCCGACGCTCCTCCGTTTCTGTTCCTCTGCTGAGCATCGTTGAACCGAGCCCCATCCCCGGCGGCGTGGCCTGGGCCCCACTGGCCGATTTCCCCCCCCAGATGGGCCGACGCTCCTCCGTTTCTGTTCCTCTGCTGAGCATCGTTGAACCGAGCCCCATCCCCGGCGGCGTGGCCTGGGCCCCACTGAGCCGATTTCCCCCCCTAGATGGGCCGACGCTCCTCCGTTTCTGTTCCTCTGCTGAGTATCGTTGGACCGATCCCCATCCCCGGCGGCGTGGCCTGGGCCCCACTGGCCGATGTACCCCGCTAGATGGGGATATAGGCCGTGCCCTTCGGGTTTTGAAGGCTGTATCCCCAACTGGGGTGGCAAGTTGGTGGGGGTCTCGAAGGGGATGGAGATGGGGATGGGGATCGGTTAGACGATACCGACAAGAAGAGCCACCGCCACGAGAACTGAACCCCGTTCCCGAAGCCCCCCCCCCCCGAGCGGGTGACACTCCGTTCTGGGCACTCTCTGGGGGCGCGCCCGGAACGGAGTACCACCAGCCTGGCGTGGGGGAGGAGCGGACAGCCCCCCTAGCTGGTGGTGGTTCTTTCTTCTCGTGTGATTTATGCAGATGAACAACAACAAGAAACGGGTCTTACAGCCGAACCTATAGGGCAGAAAAACATCCCTCAAAAACACGAGACCCTCCGCCGGCCGAAACGCACAGAACGAACGTCCAAGGGTGCCCTCCTCAGGGTGCACAAGCACATCCGACACACACACACACACAGATTCACACACACACACACACGAAGAGCATGAGGGTACACTCCCCGAACCGACCTTGATCTTATACCTCGGTCCGACCGTGCACACGTTGACATAGCGACCTCAGGCGGTAGCTTACGCGGGCCGCCAGCGCGGCACGCCACAGTGGAAACCACGGCGCTTACGCGCGACCATACGCGGGCAACTTACGCGCGAATGTCGGCGCAACCGAACCCATTTTTCTGCGTCCTTCAGACATTTGTTATTCCTCTGATCTCGGCTACGGCAGGTTCGTGTCGTGCCGCCTTCGGCGCTGGTTCCTGACACCGCGGGGATCGTTCCAGCCTGAACCATCGGCCGCTTCCGAAACGCCAGATCGTTCAACATCGACCGACTCTGGGTCGCTGGCTGCGTTCAACGTGGAACGCCAGCGGCGGGGTCGCCGCCGGTCGACACGACGCGAACCTGCCGTAACTGGCCGCTAGGGGCTCTCTTTGGCCGTCTTGACGCCCACTTGGGCCGGCTTGGGGGCCTCTGGGGCCGTCCTGGGGCGGTCCTGGGGGCCACCTGGGCCGTTGTAAACGCTGTACAGGCCAAAGAAGCGGATATGCTTAGGTCAGGCATGTCCTCCTGCAGGGGGATTGTGGGCGAAAAGTAAACCATGGTCAGAAAGTACCCAAAATGGTCCGAAAAATACTCAAAACATCGTCCCCAGACTTTACTCTGCCTGTTTCGAACTCTCCTCCTGTAGAGGGACAGGCCCCACGCAAGGACGTGCTAGACGTGCACGTTGTCCCTCCGCCGTGGGCCGGGCCGAGGCCTGCCTGCCGGGGGGGGCCGCTGGCGGCGCTCGACCTGGAACGCCCGCGCTGGGGTCGCCGCCGCGGCGCGGCACGAGCCCGCCGGCGGCGCCCGCCCGGGGCCTCCCGGAGGGAGGCCTCCGACGAGGCTCAGGTCGGGCGTGTCCCCCTTTGACGGCGCGCACAAGGGGGTGGAGGGAGGGGGGAGGGCTTCTTAGAAGCAGGCTGCTTCTTAGAAGGCGCCGGCCTTACATCCCGCGCCTTTTAAGAAGCAGGGGTGCTTCTAAGAAGCCTTCCCCCCTCCCCCTACCCCCTTCTGCGCGTGGCCCGGGGAGGCCTCCGACAAGGCTTAGGTCGGGGGTGTCCCCCTGCCAGCGGCTTTTGGACGAAACCTTAAAAATATCCAAAAAATGTTCAAGAATGGTCGAACGATTGTCGAAAAATAGTCCCCAGCGCATTTTGTTTGGCTATTTTTGAACGTTCCCCTGCAGAGGGACAGGCCCGACTTAAGACAAGGCGCGAAAGGGGCGGCTGGGTCGCGGTACCGGCACTTTTTCCTCGAGAGCGAAGCCACTCTTAGCCAGCGTGGACTCCGAACAGCGTGATTCTAGCACTCTAACTGCATCCCCGTTTAAGGGCATCCTTCATGGTGGCACAATTCGCTCTAACGGCATCCCCGTTCAAGCCTCTCGTCGCCAGCGCAGTCACCCTCTGCCTAGCCGCCGACGCAAAAAAAGCTTCCAGCACTCTACGTTGAGGCAGGCCGTGTGGAGTAATCGATGTGGTGCAGTCTGCCGTGGTGCAGCACGTGTTGCGCCACACGTACCTTGCGCGATGCAGGTTGGGCATGATGTGTTGTGCCATGTGTCCCATGTATGTGGTACAATAGAAGTGGTGCAAACCGTGCGGTGCGCAATCTTCGTGGTGCAGTCGACGTGGCTCAACCCGTGTGGTGAAATCCACGTTGTGCAACAGATGTTGTACAATCAGCATGGTGCCATCAACGTGGTGCAACACATGTTGTACAGTCTATTGTGTGCAATCTGCAAATACGTGTATAAATATATGAATATACATACACGTTTATGTGGTGCAAACCATGTGGTGCAACCTACGTGGTGCAAGATTATTGTGCCATCTACGTGGTGCAATCTATACTGTGCAATATATATATATATATATATATGATACAATCGATGCGGTGCGCAATGTATGCGGTGCAATCGACGTGATGCAACGTGTGCGTGTGTGCGTGGTGCAATACATGTTGCCCAATACATGTGGTGCAATCTGAGAGGTTCAAATGGCGTGGTGCACATAGATGTATGGATGGTGTGCGACGGGGCGGCGACAGGGCGGCGACGGCGACAACATGGCCGCCAGACTGGCAAACAGGCCCGAACGACGGGCAGCGGCGAGGCGGCGACGGGGTGGCGACGACGACAGCATAGCCGCCAGACCGGCAAGCTGTACCAAATCCTTAGAACCGAAAAAAAACGGAGTATGGCCTAAACACACCATGTCGGAGCTGGGCCCTCCTCCCTGGTGCGCGGAGCGCACCACGGACGGCGCTGGAAACGCCGCAACGGAATGTGATGCTTGTGTCATTGGGTGTCCCCCGAGCATCGTCAATTACTTTTTCCTCCTCTGGTCCTCGGTAATGTCCATGTGCTCCTCGCGCAGCGCCAGTGCTTCGTCGAGCTTCCCCAACAGCTGCACCTGGGCCGCGGTCTGAGCAAGCGCATGGCGTGTGTCGGGGTGCGCCCTGCCCAGCGACCGCTGCCTCGACCTGAGAACTTCCTTGAACAGCACCTCGGCCCTCTTGTCATGCCCGAGCTTCCTCAGGACCACCGCCAGGTTTAGCGACGCGGTCAGCGTCTTGGGGTGCTCCGAGCCCAGCAGGTCCGTTATGGCCTGCACGGCCTCCGCGCACAGGGGCTCTACCTGCTTCTTCTGGTCCGAGCGGTAGAGGAGCGACACCAAGTTGCTCAAGGACACCAGGGTGTCGTCGTGAGCCAGGCCCAGCGTCTTCCGGCGGCGTTCAAAAGCTTGGCGCGTCAGAGGCTCCGCATCTTTCAGCCCCTTCGTGGACTGCAGCACTGCAGCCTGGTGTGGCAACTCGCGGGGGCGTCCCATACCATCGTGTCAGGGAATCGACGCTTCTCGACGCCAGTCGACGCTAAATCGACGCTAATCGACGCTAGTCGACGCTTATCGACGCTAAATCGGTGCTATCCCATCGAATGCCAGACGCTAACCGACGCCAATGCACTCTAAAGACGGAAGCACGACGGTACACAAGGCTCCCATGATTTGCTACCGACGCAACCAGGTTGCTGAGGGCGGTCAGTGTGGCAGGATGATCCGAGCCCAGCTCTTGCTGCCGGCCCGTCACGACCCTCTGGCACAGCGGCTCGGCCTCTCCGTAGCTACCCTTCTTCTGCAGGATCGCGGCGAGGTTGCTCGTGCACGTCAGGGTGGTGAGGTGCTCTCTCCCCAGCTTTTGCTCGTACATCGCCACCGCCCTGCATGCAAGCTCGCAACCCAAACCCCCGACGTCGCGACTCCTTTCTCAACGACGACCCCCAGAGGTCTGGACCCCTTCCCCGGGACCAGTTTTTCATCCCGAGTCGCTGTTTGCCGGTCCCAGGGCCCAGCAAGGGCCCCCGGAGGGCGAAAATACAGAGCGGGCGCGGCCGCAAGAAACCCTCGCAAGAAACCCAACCCTGAGAACCCGTGCGCGAGATACACCCGAGGAGAAACCCGGAGCACACTGAACGCAGCAGCTCCTTCAACGGATGCGGGAGGTCACCGCGCAGCGCGAGTAGCGAAGAAACCCATGATACCCTGACGAAAAGCAGATGGTTTCTTGATGCGCGCCCCCACTGTAGCGAAACAACTCCCGTCGTGACCTTGTTCGCAGCGCGATGGGGGTCTGGGAGGGGGGGGCGGGGCGAGGGGCGAGGAGCGGGGCCTCCCAAGCAGGCGGAAGGCCTCGAACTGCCGATCCCCCTCTCGCTCCCCTGGCATGCTGCAGGGCCACGCCAGCGCTCGCAAGGGGGCGGGGCGAGGGGGCGAGGGGGGTGGCCTCCCGAGAAGGCGCGGAGGCTTCGAGCTGCCGAGCCCTTCTCGAGAAGCCCCCCTGGCATGCTGCAGGGCCGCCCTCCCTCGCCCCGCCCCAGGCCAGCTCGGCGGCGAGCGCGGGGGGCAAGTGTAAGAAGGGGCAGGCCTTCTCAGAGGGCTCGGAAGCCTCCCAGCCTCCTGAGAGGTGTTCGAAGCCCTCCCTGGAAGCGCAGAAAACCTCCCCGAAGGCGCGAGGGCTTCTGAGAAGCCCCGCCGCCTTCTGAGAAGGCCCCCTCCTCCTCTTCCTCCTCCTCCTCCTCTCCTCCACTTTCCTTCCTCCCCTCTCCTCCCCTCCTCCTCTCCTCCTCCCCCCCTCCTCCTCCTCCCCCCGCCTCCTCCTCCTCCTCCTCCACCTCCTCCTACTCCTCCTCCTCCTCCTCCTCCTCCTCCTCCTCCTCCTCCTCCTCCTCCTCCTCCTCGCTCGCCGCCAAGTGTCGGTGGATGGGGCGTGGCTCCAGCGGAGGTCTCGATGGGGGTACATCAAAGTATCAACTCGTACAACGCGACGTGATGTGCAATCACATCTACGATTGGACACGCGGGATCTGTTGCGTGGCAGCCCTCGCGCCCTCCCCCTGGCAACTCGCTCCTTCCCCTCCTCCTCGCCCCCCTCGCTCGCCGCCGACAGGCGTCGCTCGGGCCCCCGGGCCCCTCCAGGGGCCCATCCTGGCAGGCCGTTCCAGGCGCGCCCAGCCGTTCCAGCCCCAGAGACCTCCGAGACCTCCGAGACGACGACGACGACGACGACGACGACGACGACGACGACGACGACGACGACGACGACGACGACGACGACGACGACGACGACGACGACGACGACGACGGACCACCATCACAGAACGGCATCTAAGACGAAGCTTGGACGAGGATAGAATCGGGTACGGGCACTTCGGGAGTCTCTGGGATCCGGCGTTTCTGGAGGATGTCTCGAGCGCCGCGGCCTTCTGAGACTGTTCCGGAACGCTCCGAGAGCGTCCCGGAACGCCCTGGAACGGATCTTTCTCCTCGTATTAGCCCCGTCCGAAGCATCCTCCGAGCTGCGTCCGGCCGCGCCGACGGGAGTCGCCAGGAACAACCAAAATCACTCGCGACGACGATGACGAAGACGAAGACGACGACGCCGACGACGATGACGAGGACGACGACGACGACGACGACGACGACGACGACGACGACGACGACGACAACGACCACGGCATCCGCTGAGGGGCAACGATAGGGATGGTTGGACTGCCATAAAAGGGAAACGTCGACCCGGAATCGGCGATGCATCGCCGACAGATAGATCGGCGAAAAGCCCCCTATTGTGAATCCGCACGCTCCTGGGCAGGTTGGGGTTATCGGGCCCACTTCGGCGATCAGTGGGCGATTGGGGGTCCATGCGCCCCCCCTTATGCCCTACAGTCGGGGCGTTGACCTAAGGAGCCCTAAATAAGGAACGGGGCCCCTTTTTCCCACAAGATAAACTTCGATTTCCCATCGAAACCACGCGGAGAGTCTGAGGCGAGCGGTGAAACACTTAGGGAACGCGGAGCCACTCCCCAACGAAAGGGGTTCCTTCTTCAGGGCCCCGACTGTATGCCTACCCCTCCTATCGCTGCCCTCCTCCTCCTCCTCCTCCTCCTCCTCATCCTCCTCATCCTCCTCCTCCTCCTCCTCCTCCTCCTCCTCCTCCTCCCGTCCTCCCCTCCCCCTCCCCCCCCCCTCCTCCTCCTCCTCCTCCTCCCCTCCTCCCCCTCCCCCTCCTCCCCACCCTCCCCCTCCTCCCTCCTCCTCCTCCTCCTCCTCCTCCTCCTCCTCCTCCTCCTCCTCCTCCTCGTCTTCCTCCTCCCCTCCTATCGGTGCCCCTGATCAGCCGTCGACCGCTCCTCGTCGACGCGGTCCAGAAGTGGTCTCTGTGGCACCGCGGGCTCGTGCCGTGCCGACCCCGGCGCTGGCTCCTGGCACCGCGGCGATCGCTCGACCTTGCACGACCGGCCGCTTCCAGGAGGGGGAAAAACACACCGACGCAATTCATCGTCGAGACCCAGGAAAATATGGGAAAACATGGGAACTGGGGGGGAAACAGAAACCCAGAAAAAAATCTGAAAATATGGGGAATCTTTGTTTTGTGTGTATTTACTTGTGTGTCCCGAGGCCCCTTCGCGCTTCCGAGACGTCAGATCATTCCACGTCGACCGATTCCAATTCCGGGTCGCCAGCGGCGTCAGAGGCCTCCTAGATGGGGTCCGACCGGACGGGGTCGGAGGATCGCGACGCATCGCCGATGCATCGGCGAGCATCGGCGACTCTTCGGCGACGCGTCGGCGATACATCGGCGATGCATCGGCGACGTCGGCGATGCCTCGGCGACACCGGCGTGGGGAAACACGGTCTCCACATCGAGCCGCATCGTCGATGCATCGGGGATGCGGCGCGATCTTCCGACCCCATCTACCCCGACCCTATCTAGGAGGCCAGAACCCGTTTCTTTACTGTTTGGGGCGTGACGGGCGTCATGGCCCCCGGCCCTCCCCCCCCATGATGTAACGTTCCTTCCCCCAGTGCGTTCCGGGCACTGCCGCCGTGCGCATCATGATCCACACATGTGTCCGCATAGGAATCCGCATAGGAGTCTGGTCCGCAGTCGTCGTCGTCGTCGTCATCGTCGTCGTCGTCATTGTCGCTCGTCGCTCGTCGCTCATCTTCGTCGTGCACGCGGACGCATGTGGAGCCTTTTCAGTTTATTCTGGGCCGATGACGGCAATCATCTTGGGGGGGAGGGCCGATCACGTCACGTTTCGCGCCAGCGGCGTCTGGGAATGCTTAGGAGGACGGGTAGAAGCAGCATGTCAGTGGCGATCTGCACCACAACGCCTTTGTACACCATAGCGCCTGCGTGCGCCACAGCGCCTGCGTACACAACATCAGCCGTGTGCAACACAGCACCAGTGTACACCACAATGCCTGCGAGCACTCAGCACGGCACCAGTGAATAGACCATTCTGCGGTGCACGATGAGACGCGCACGTGCGCTATAGTGCCGACCTGCACCACAGGGGGGAAGGGTGAGGGAGGAGGAGGAGGAGGAGGAGGAGGAGGACGACGAGACGAGGAGGAGGAGGAGGACGAGGAGGAGGAGGAGGACGAAGAGAAGGCGGAGGTGGAGGAGGGAAGAGAGAAAAACGTCGCATTATATTCTCAGCACTTCCCTGGCGTGGCGTTTAGCTGTCCGCAGCAGATCCTCACCGACATGCTCCGTCTACCTGTCCTGTGCACGCAGGCACTCTGGTGTACACCAACGCTGCGTTGCACGCAGAAGCTGTGGTGTAGACAGGCGCTGTGGTGTGCACAGGCGCTGCGGAGCACGTAAGCATTGTGGTGTAGACAGACGCTGTGTTGCACACGGCTGCTGCGATGTACACATTCGCTGTGGTGTACACTGGCGCTGTGGTGCACGCTAGCACTGTGGTGTACACAGGCGTTGCGTTGCACAAGGCTGTTGCGGTGTACGCAGGCGCTGTGGTGTATACAAGCGCTGTGGTGCACGCGAGCACTGGTGTGCACAGGCTCTGCGGGGCAGATCGCCACCTACATGCTGCTCGCGTCGTCGTCGTCGTCGCTCGTCGCTTGTCGCTCGTCGCTCGTCGGTCGTCGCTCATCGTCGTCGTGCGCGCGGGCGCGGCTATGGTGCCGGAGCCGTACGGCGGGGGGGGCGTTACGTCATACCCCCCCCGCCCCCCCCATGACGCCCGTCATCGCCGATGATAAAGAAGCGCGTTCCTAGAATTAGGTCGGGCCTGTCCCCCTACAGACCGATTTTCGATGAAAAATTAAAGTTAGTGAAGAAATACTCCAAACATGCTGAAAAATTGTCAAGGAATCGTCCCCAGACAATTTTTTACTCTTTTTGAATATATATATATATATATATATATATATATATGTATACACCCCTAGATGGCCTGAAAACCTCGCCCAGACATGCATATCCAGCGAAGCTGTGTGATATAGTTTGGAACACCTTTCTCACGCACTCTCCGACAAGGTAATCCAATCGAAGCTCAGGCCTGAGACGAGAAAAATTGTCGAACATCGTCGGGCTGTCATCTTGGACGGCCCCTCTTTCGCCCAGCGGAAAATGCACTGAATTACGAGCGAAGCGTGCTGAGCTCGAGGGTGGCTGAGGGCGGGCAGACTTTGAGCCACCGCGGTTGCGGGGGGTCAGCATTTACAAGCTCGGGCGAGGAGGGGCCTGTTGGGGTATTCACGTCTACGACTATACACACCCCTAGATGGCCTGAAAACCTCGCCCAGACATGCATATCCAGCGAAGCTGTGCGATATACTTTGGATCACCTTTCTCACGCACTCTCTGACAAGGTAATCCAATCGAAGCTCAGGCTTGAGACGAGAAAAATTGTCGAACATCGTCGGGCTGTCATCTTGGACGGCCCCTCTTTCGCCCATACCCGTATCATGAACTGGTGGCCGCTACATTTCACGAATCTTCTGAAGGAGGATCTGCGGCAGGCGCTTGCTGCGCTCAGCCGCCTTTTTCTGCTTGGCCAAGGGAACCTTGCGCAACTGCTGCAAGATCAGGGCCCCCTTCTCGTCGCAATCCACCGACGCGGAAGATGCCCATCGTCCGCGCTTCTGAACCTCTTTCAACGTCCTCCGGGAGTGCGCCTTGTCGTTGCTGGCGCCCGAGCGCCGGAAGACGTGCGGGCAAACGCCCAGGGAGGTGTAGCCCAGGCGGCAGGCCGACTTCTTCACCTCGCGCTCGTAGTCGCCGAGGGTGAAGTCGAAGATCTTCTTCTTGTCCGACACGGTGGGCTTGTGGAGCAGCCGCAGCACGCTCGTCAGCCACGGCCTCGCCACGTCGCCCACGAGCAGGCTGTCGTCCTGGCCGCCCGTCTTCGTGGTCTCGTGCCACTCCGAGGGCGCGATGACGATGCCATAGTGCGCGCCGAGCTTCGCGACCGGCGCCGGCGGCAGGATCTGGCCCTGCCTCAGCCCCACCACCTCGGAGGGCCGCGTGTAGGTGTCTGTCTGGATCACCACCGCGGCCCCCATCAGGGGGTTCCCGTGCTCCACTAGGTCCAGCGCGATGTCGTCCACGATGATGTCGGGCAGCGGCAGACGCATCCTCCCGGGCGCCCGCTTCGTCCAACCCTTCAGGGAGGCCAGCGCCTTTGGGAGGTCGACCTTGCCCGTCGTCTTGAGCTTCAGCAGCTTGCACCCGTAGAAGGCGTTGCGCCCCTCCCAGACCCCGAAGCCGTCGTCGAACAGGTCCACGAAGTAGAGGGAGAGGCTGTCGTCCAGGCGTGCCAGCGGCTGCAGCGGCAGGCGCTTCTCCTTCGCGTAGGTCTCGAACTCGTGGACCGCCGTCGCGTACCTCTCCAGAGTGCCTCCGGTCACCGTCGCCATGATCAGCGAGTCCTTCCGCGGGACGGTGATGGGGCCTGCCCGCCGGGGGCCTGTAGGCAGCCGCGGTCGGCCCTTCCCCGGTGGCGGCTGCCGCCCAGTCCGGGTGGGCCCTCCAGCGCCGGGGCCGCTCGTCCTGGCCGAACTGGATGATCGGGTCGTGCTCGAGGAACGAGTCGGCGGCCTGGCAGGCTGGCTCACGGGGTTCATCGACCTCACCGTGAACCGCTGCTCCTCGAGCCGCCGGCTGACGGCCCGCGGCCCGCTGGAGGCCATGGCGGACCTCGCTGGGGTCGAAGGCTCGCTGGCCCGGGCGCATGTCGCCCGGCAGGGCCGAAGAAAGAAGCCTGGCCCAACACGAGCCCAATGCTGGCGGGTAGGCGGCGGCAAGTGGTGTGAGATGACCGTGTAGCAAGACCGAGTGTTTATGTCGAATGCGAGGTCGATCTCCCAAGGACTGTAATGCTTTCAGGTTTGTCAGGATTCGAGTAGGTTTCCGATAGGCCGTGCCATACATGCTCATATCGAAGTTTACCTCGACGACGTCCGCGAGTCCATGAAGGCGAGCGATCGGGTCGAAGGTCCAGAGTCTCGAAGTCCGGGGGTTTTCCACACTCCAATAACACCCACGACGTGATAAGATATGACACAACGTAGCCGTGAACAGTGCGAACTCGATGCCCAAACGTTCCCGGGCCCTGGCTCGAACGTGGTTTCGGATCCCCCTCCGAGCGATACTCCAAACCTGACAAGGCGTTCCCAGGTGCACATATATCAAACGCCCTTCTCGGGCCAGCCTGAGGATAAACTCTTGTGTACTGCGACGAGACAGATCAAATTCCCAGCCGTCTCTGATATCAACTGAATCCGCGAAGGGAAGCCCCTCCGCCCGGCAAGCTCGAGTCAGCTCACCCTTTCCACCGAGGAGCTCCATACAAAAAACTGATTTACCAGGCTCGCTCTGAATTGACGGGCGTACAACAGATGCTGAGGATGCCGACGGAGGTGACCGAGAAGAGGAGGAGGTCGTGTAACTCGCAGCCGGAGCGGACAGGCTCGGGGCGGCGTCTCGACGCTCGGGCCCCCGGTTCAGCCCAGCAGGCTTCTTCAGGTCCCAGCGCCGGGAGTCCTCGTCGCTCGGGTTTCGGTCAGTCTCGATATACCTGAGCCGCCAGGCGATCTGCCCGCCCAGGCGGTAGGCGGCTGCGCGCCTGCAGAGGGCCTGCAGGCCCGCGCTGGAGCGGCCCTTCTCGAAGGCCCCGACGGTGACCTGGCTGTCGCTGATCGAGAGCAGCTTTGTGCCCATGAACTTCACCGACCGGCAGTGTCGACGGAGCCCCATCATGGCGACCCTCGCCTCCTTGAGGTTGATGTGCTCGTCCTGCCAGCGCCAGCGATCCGCGGCGACCAGCTTGTAGCGGCGCCTGGCCACCCAGCTGTCCCCCAAGGCGGGGATGCCCGAGTCCAGATGCAGCTGGGTGCGGCCACGAGCCGGCTTCGCAGCGCGGCTTCGGGCCGGAGAGGGAGCCAGGCCGCTCGCATCCTCTGGCACCTCCGCCTGACTCAGCAGGGACTGGCCGAAGGCGGTCTTCGGGCCAGTGGCGGTGCCGGGCGTGCCGCCGCGCACGTAGTCGAGCCCGTTGCTGACGTGGCCCGTCACTGTTGGGACGTCGCGGTACCGCCAGCGTTCTCTCCACCTCCAGGCTTCTCGGAGCTCGATCGGCTCGGCGTTCGTCACGTGGAGTGCGTAGCCGCGGCCGGACGAGCCCCCGCAGTACACCTGGTCCGAGTAGGTCGCGCCCAGGTCCGCCTCCATCAGGAAGAGCAAGTTCATCGAGCAGCGGATCTCGGACTTCACGGAGGGCCAGACCCGCTTGGGCGACTCCAGCGACTCCTCGATGAAACGGTAGCAGGCGTTCAGCGCGGACATCGCCTCGGGGCAGAGCTGGTTCAAGTTCGCGACGTGCCCCGGCCAGCACTGGAGCGCGTGCCCGTGGAGCTTGCGGCGTCTCAAAAGGGCGTGTCCGGCCACGTAGGTCCGCCAGACGCGCCGAGCCACATGCCTCAGGCGACGCTCCTGCCAGTGGCACACCAGGCCGAGGGACTGCATCTCCAAACTGTCCCCCGGTTCCACGTCGAAAGGTATGCGGTCCTCTCGAAAAAGATTCTCGATTTCATGCATCTGAGTGTTGGCGTCAGCCTCGCAGCCTCCGATCACCTGCACGTTGTCAACGTACACTCCGGCAACGCACTTGCCGGGCTCGATGGTCGGGGCAGGCTGCATCTCCCTCATCACCTTCTCGGCCCCGTCGGGCAGCGCCCGCTGGACGCGGTAGGTCACGGCCTCGTTGGCGAAGTAGAGCGCCCAAGACCAGCCCATGCAAACCGCGCACATGCAAGGGTAGAGCTGCTCGCCGTCCACGACCTTGGTCTCGGCCCCCTCGGCGTCGTCCCAGATCGAGTCCGGCAGGCAGCCCATCTCCGTCAGCTCGTTGGTGTCGAACTGGTCTGTGAAGCCGAACCAGCTCGCCAGCTCGGGGATGGTGAAGTTGTAGAAACAGTCCCCGACGTCTCCTTCGCGGCCAGCTGGGCTGAAGGCCCCGGAGCCGAGGCCCCCGAAGCCCGATGCCTTCAGGCGGGGGTCGGAGAGGTCGAGGTCGGCCATGCATCGCGAGGAGCCTAGCCGAGTAGTGGGAGGTGGCCGATGCGCCCGGTTGGCCGCTCGGGCGTCGATGATCAACCTCTGGAGCCCATCCTTTTTCTTGACCACGAAGATGCCCGCATGCCCCTTCAGCCGCCGGCGCCAAGTCAGCAGGCCCTGCTGGTCCAGGCGCTGGTACAGTCGCTTCCGAAGGTCTCGCGAGCGCCGGAGGTGAGGGTCCCAGTATGGCGTGACACCCACTCCCTCGGCACGATCTCTCTCAAGCTCCGCTTCGCCCATCTCGATCAAGTCGGAAGCGCGCCGAAGGTAACCAGCGGCCGACGCGGGCAACTCCCGGCGTATCGGCCGAACGTGGACCTTCCTGTGCAGGATCTTGACCTTGTCGAAGTCGAAGCTGGCCAGGTTCTTGGGCTCCATCCCGTAGTGGTCTCTCGAGTCGAGGATCTCGTGCAACGATGACTCCTCTGTGAGGTCAGCGGGGCAATCCCCATGCGCCTGCACACGCCGGGCAACGTTCTGGATCGCCCACTGCTGCACGGCGGTCGGCTGGAGGTGCCCTTCTGGTGCGCGGTCGTGCCCCTGGGCGCGACGTGAATTCACGTTGGCGGCGGCTAGCTGGTTCAGGGCCCGAACCGTGTCAAAAACTTGCCGTTGCCGCGCGGAGCTGCATGCAGAGCCGAGGCCACTCGGATCGCAGGGCAGAGGAAAAGGGTCTCCGTGCCGTCGATCTCGTGACCGGATCCCTCCAGGAGTGGAGGGGGCTAGCCCACGTCTGTGTCGGCTGTGGGGGGGCTCTCTCGGCGCCCGGGCTGCCAGCGCCGGCTCCCCCACAGCCCCGAGAGGCGTCATCCTCCTTCGCCGGCGCCCTCGGCGCCGGCCTTACCCCCTCTCTTCTTCGGCTTCTTCTTGGACGGATCGTAGCCATCGCCGCCCTTGCCCTCCTTCAGGTTCGTCTTCTGCTCCTCGCGGTACAGGCGCTCCTGCTTCCAGATCTGCGCCCTCTCCTTGAGCTTGTCAGTGACCCAGGAGTTGAACTTGTTCGTCGTCGCGCGGCCCGCTGCGTTCACCGGGGCCGAGATCACTATGTCCAGCCCGCTGTAGTCAGGGTGGCGCGGGTTGCGCTCTACCGCTATCTCCGTCTGAACCAGCCAGCGCACGATCAGCTCCGCAGAGGCCATCATAGAGGCGTCGACCTGGTCCCAGGAGTGCATGAGCCGAATCACCTCGCACAAGGTTGCGGTGCACGTGGTTGACTGCCGAACCCTCGCCGACTCCACTGAGCCGCTCCCACTCAGCCTGGTACGACGTCATGTTGCCAGGCCCGGAGGCCACCGACTCGAGGAACTCCTTCACGCTCCTCACGCCGGCGAGCGGGAAGTTCGGCTGGTCCGTGTCTCTCATCAGCGCGACCGCCTCCGAGAGCCTTAGGCTGCGTTGCCCAGCATCGTCGAGGTGGTCCCCGAGCGTGCGCACGTCTCCGAGGTCCGCCTTGGTCTCCTTCTTGAAGTCGTCGAGCTTGCTAGCCGCGATCTTCTGCACGAAAATCTCCTCCCCGTCCACGACCGCCACGCCCTTCGTGTCGAAGCCCGTGCCGCGGGCGTCGTCGTCCATGATGGCCGAGTCGATCACCTCGCCGAACCTCGCCGACCGGGGCTCGGCCACCACCCAGATCATCCTCTCGACCACGTCCACCTGGCCCACACCCAGCAGCTGCCCCTGGATCTTCGCACGGCGGCGGAAGCCCGCCAGGGCGGCGGCGGCGATGGGGTCGTGGGCGTAGACCTGGTTGCCCAGGTGGGCAGGGAACGGGGCTCGCCTCTCCAGCACCTCGTGCCGGATGTCCAGGAGCTTCAAGCGCACCAGGGCGAGATCAGGGGTCAAACTGATCCAGATATCGTCCGACACTCTGAAGAGCAAGACTCTGTGATGCCAGCAGAAGCCGTTCTCGTCGTCCGGGTAGTGGACCAGGATCTGCGGGTCGCCGATGTCCAGCGTCAGCACGTCTGCCATCGGGCTACTGCTGCCGGCGGCTCGGCGTCGAGGGCCCTCGGCCCGGCTGAGGGCACGCCGGCCCCTCTACCGCCGCCGCCCTCGAGGCCGCGGCCGGTTGGGCGCCGGGCTCGGCCGCCCGGCCCGGAGCGCGCTCGCGCCCGCCGCAGCGGCAGCGCCGGCAGGCCCCCACCAGGAAGCCCAGCGTGCCAGCACCCGAGGCTACAGCGCCGAGCAGTAGAAGCCCGGCCAGCAGCAGGCACCGCAGCGCCCACACCTCCGACTGGAGGAGTCCGACCTCTTGCTGGAGGTCGATGATCTTGCGCAGCTCCCAGTCGCAGGAGCAGCGCTCAGAGTCCTCCTGGCAGTGGCCGGAGGACGCGAACGGCGCGTGCGCCGCCTGGGTGGTGACTCCGCCCCAGCCCCAGCTCCAGCAGGCGCTCCAGGTCGCCCCCCACGCCGTGAGCAGCGTCGCCCACAGCGGAGGCGCCCCGCCGTCCATGCAGGGGCCGCCGCGGCTGGGGGCCTCTCAGACTTTGAGCCACCGCGGTTGCGGGGGGTCAGCATTTACAAGCTCGGGCGAGGAGGGGCCTGTTGGGGTATTCACGTCTACGACTATACATATATATATATATATATATATATATATATATATGTATATATATATATACATATATATATATATATATATTCCCCCTGTAGAGGGACAGACCCGACTTAAGCCTAGGGTTGAACGCCGGTGGCGGGGTGGCCGCCGGTCGACACCACGCAAGCCTGCCGCATCCGTTTTTGTCGTTACTCTGAGGTCGGGCATGTCCCCCCCTACGGGGGGATTCTGGGCGAACAATGAAAAATACTCGAAACATATGAAAAAATATCAAAAATTCTACCAGAAAAGCAAATGTTAAAAAATCGTCCCCAGTATTCCCCCTGTTGAGGGACAGAACGCCAGTGGCGGGGTCGCCGCTGATCGACCCGACACGAGCCTGCCGCATCCGTTTGTGTCGTTACTCTGAGGTCGGGCATGTCCCCCTACGGGGGGATTTTGGGCGAAAAATTAAAAATACTCGAGACATATGCAAAAATAGTAAAGCAATGCTTAAAACAAATCGCCCCCAGACGATTTTTTCACTATTTTTGAAAGAGCCTCATGTAGAGGGACAGGCCCGACGTAACGTTGCTCGTCGATGGGCCCAGGGCGCGGCGCGCGCCGCCGACCTGCGCGCGAGCACCTCCGCCTCGTCGAGGTGCCCCATCTTCTCCAGCAGCGTCGCCAGGTTGTTGAGCGAGAGGAGGGTCTCGGTGTGACTGTGTCCGAGCACCTTCTCCTCTTCAGAGGGCAGGAAATCCAACCCGCTAATGACCACCCCGACGCGCGAAGCCGTTCAGTAGACGCGCCCAGAGAAGGAATCAAACAGGGCAGGGCTTTTTCGTAAACGCCCAAGGCCGTTCAGTAAACGCCAATTGTCCGGCCCGGGTGGCTTTGCCTCCCTCGATGATGTTTTGCAGGGCGGCGAGATCTGCACGTGCCTGACCAGGCTCGACCTCATCCCCGTCCTCGACCTCCTCCCCCTCTGCTCCTCCTCCTCCTCCTCCCTCCTCCTCCTCCTCCTCCTCCTCCTCCTCCTCCTCCTCCTCCTCCTCCTCCTCCTCCTCCTCCTCCTCCTCCTCCTCCTCCTTCCTCGAGACTGACAAGCCCGGGTCCGGTGCCAGTGCTGGGGATGCGCCCCCGCAGAAACGGGGGGGATCCCTGAGATCGGCATCGAGAGCGGGCGAGGCCAATCATACGGATAGGGATCTTGGATGCTCATTCTGGGGACCTTCCTGGAAACACTCGCTCCACTCGTGGGCCGCAGCTGCGTCGAACGTCCGTCGATTGGAAGAGTCGACCCGGACTCGAACCTCAGTCGAACCCGAATCGAACCTGAGTCGAGCCCGAGTCGAACAGATCCGCCAGGCGGGCCCCAAAAGGGCCCCCCAAAACGAACATCTGGGGGATCTGTTCCAGGCTGGTGAACATCCACGGCGCACTGCCGGGGGCCCACCCCGAGACGCCGGAGGAGCGGCGTCGTGCAAGGCCCTCCTAGGTCGGCCAAGGAGGGGGGCATGCACGCTCCGCGTCCGGCATGCCCCAGGGGTGGGCATGGCTGCATGGGGGCAGCGGACGTGCATGTGGACGTCTCCTCGTTCGGCGTTTCGGCATGGGGCGGCACGGGGGGGTGAGGGGGGGGGCCTCTGCGGAGTGCGACCGCTTGGAGCCGTGCGCCCAGCACGGGGGAGGCTCCAACTGCTTGAGGCAGGCGCCAGAACCAGCCAAGATCGACTCCACTGAGGGGGGGGGCGCGAGGGCCCGCGCCGATCGGCAGAACAACGAACGAGAAAACGACGACATGCGTATAGACCTCGTCGTGCCATGTCTCGGGAGGCCCCGCACAACCTTAACCTTGAGCGATCGCGGCATGTGCAGGTACCGTTCGACCAGTTCCGGGGTCGCCGCCGCGTCGACAGAATCCCCCTCCTCCCCGCCTCCTTAGATCAGCCTCCTCCTCCTCCTCCTACTCCTCCTGTTTATATCCTCCCCCTCTCCTCCTCCTCCTCCGCCTCCTCCTCGTCCTCCTCGTCCTCCTCCTCCTCCTCCTCCTCCTCCTCCTCCTCCTCCTCCTCCTTATATCACCCTCTTCTCCTCCTCCTTCTATCCTCCTCCTTCTTTTATCCTCCTTATATCCTCCTTCTCCTACTCGTACCACGTGACGGATCCAAGTCGCCGATCCTCTTCCTCCCGGCCCCTGTCCTCCCCTCCCAGGGCGCCCCGAGACGACAGCGAGGAGCAAGCTGAAATCCAAAGCAGAACGTGGCGCAAGCCTGTAAGAAGTACACCCTGCGAAATGCTTAAGAAATCATGGGTTAAGAAATTCATAGTCTCAGAACTGGAATAAAAACCCAAAATGTCTATTCAAATCTTAGGATTTACATCGAAACATTAAGAATAATCGAGACTTTGGTCGAAAAGTTAATTTCTTAAGCATCGCCTAAGGTGTACACGTCCGGAGGTGACGTGCGGAGCGGCAACATTTTTCGGCGAGCGCCTTCGTGCAAAGTATCCCACGTGCCAAGGTGTGGCACAAGCGCAACATCCAGCGCCACTTTACCATGCTATGCACCCCCCTACCTCCCCCCCCCATAAGGAGTCACGCCGCTTCTGGCAACCCAAACATGGAGGACCCCTTTTCTGGGCATCAACAACTGCAGAAACCGTGCAACGGTATTCATTTCGTCCTCATAGGCTTCTTGGGGGTCGATGAATGCCACAGGACGGCTAACGATGGCCTCAATGTGGCCCAAGATAGACCCAAGACGGCCCAAGATGGTTCCAAGAGGGCCCCACAAGGCCCCAAAGACGGCCCAAGAGGGCCCCAAGAGGACCCCCAAGAGGGCCTCTGGAGGCCAGAAACATTGATTCTCTGTTGGTTTTTGCATTCGCTTGACGTCCTCTCCTGTTTCCACTCTCGGGATTCCCTGACGGCTAAAGCAGCTTCCGAGATGGTCCCAAGATTGCCGAATAGGGATCCAAGACGGTTCCCGACCGTCTGGGAAAGAATGATGGTTTTAGATTATTGGGCTTCCTGCAAGTCGAAAAAATGTCAAGACGACCCGAAAGGCCCCAGCATGCCCCAAAAGGCCTCCCAATACGGCCCAAGAGGCCCTGAAGACGGCCCAAGAGAGCTCCAAGAGGAGCCGAAAGAAGGCCTGCATGGGGCAAACAAAATCATGTATTTACCTGACGCTTTACTCATGGATTTGACCGTTCTCGCGTTCCCATGTTTCAGACACCCAAGAAAGCCAAGTAATCCAAAATGGCCCCAAGACGACATACGAAGCCACCAAGAAAAGGCCCAGGATGGCCCGAACGGGCCCCAAGACGGCCCGAGAGACCCCCAAGACTGCCCTTGGAGGCCACAAGAGGGCACCAAGACGGTCCAAGTAGGCCCCAAGACGGCCCAAGTGGGCCCCAAGACGACCCTTGAAGGCCCCAAGAGGGTACCAAGACGGCCCTGAGGCCCCCGAAACGGTTCCCGAAGGCGCCAGACCGCCCCATGGCGCCGAAGGACGGCCCAAGACGCCCCCAACAAGCCCCGGGCAGCAAGAAGCTTCCAGGATCGGGAATGGACAGAACCCCCTTTAGTAAAACGTGGTTTAGTGAAAACGACCTCGGGCCAAAAACCTGGTGGGCGCAAGCCTGGAAAATGACGGCCGCGGCGCCCTCTCGAAATCCGAAAACGGACAAGTCGCTAATCGACGTGTCAGCGTGGGGGTTCTGTCCGCCCCCGACAGGAGGGCCCAACGCACGTGCTCCACACACTCTGGACGTGCGCCCCGCGGAGTGAGAGAAATCCATGTCCAGAAGGAGCGAGTTGCCAGAGGCAGGTCGCGAGAGCTGTAATGCAACATCTCCCCCTCCTCCTCCTCCTCCTCCTCCTCCTCCTCCTCCTCCTCCTCCTCCTCCTCCGCTTCCTCCTCCTCCTCCTCCGCCGCCTCCGCCTCCTCCTCCTCCGCCTCCTCCGCCGCCTCCTCCTTCCCTCAGCCCCTGCTCCGCATATTACCTCCTCCTTCTCCTACTCCTACTACTACTCCTACCTACTTCCTCCTCCCTCATCCTCATACCTCCCCCACTCATCCGTCCTACTCTCCTCTCTCCTCTCCTCCGCCTCCTCCTCCCCTCCTCCTCTCCTCCTCCCTCCCCTCATCGATGCCTCTCTCTCCTCGACCGCCTCCCTCCTCCTCTTCCTCCTCCTCCTCCTCCTCCTCCTCCTCCTCCTCCTCCTCCTCCGTGTGTCCAACCGTACGTATGATTGCACATCACATCACGTTGTACGAGTTCATACTTCTATGTGCCCCCCAAAACCCTCCGCCGGAGCCACGCCCCACCCACCGACACCTCGATGGCGGACCTCTGCTGGGGCTCGAAAAGGTACAGCAACCCAAGGAGCATACAGACGCGTGGCTTCTTGGGCTTCTTGAGAGTCGAAGAGGGCCTGGAGACGGCTCTGGAGGATTGCAGCACGGCACAGAACGACTCGAAGACGGCCCACGATGACGCCGGCACGGCCCAGGGGCTCTCAGGTCGGCCCAAGATGCCCTCAAGACGGCCCCAGAAGGCTCCAAGAGGACCCCCTCGGAGCCCTCCACAGGCAAATTGATGGTGACATCCCGTAGGCCTTTACACGCTGTTGCGTTCTCGATGCCTCGGGCCTCCGACACGCCACGAGGCCCAGAAGCCTCCAAGATGGCCCCAAGAGGCCCTCAAGGCGACCGCCGAAGGCGTCCGACGGCCCAAGGGCGCCCGAAGACGGCCCAAGAGCGCCTCCAAGACGCCCCCAGCAGGCCCCCAGCAGGCCCCAAAAGCAGCCCCAAGAGGTCCCAAAGAGGCCCCACGAGGCCTCCAACTTCCCCAAAACAAGAACTCCCAGGAGAGCCCAAACGCACACATGCTCTGCACACTCTGGACGTGCACCCCGCGAAGCGAGCGAAATCGCTCTCAACGGCCTTGCTCTAAAAAGGCGATGTGAGCATCCAGCCAGGCTCGTTCCCTGACCCCTCCCTCCGAGTAGGGGATCGCCTTCAGAATTGAGCTGCCCCCGACTTGAACTTTCCGCAGAACCCATGGAAAACGCACAGACTTCGACGTAGATCTACGAGCATGACACGTATTTGCTTAGTTCGTCGATCCGACGAGAAAACCAGCTTGGGGACAGATCAGTTCTGCAGTCGAACCCCCACTCGAACCCTGGGACGGCCCTCCCACTTCTGCGAACCCCCAGTCCTTGATCTGCAGGCCCTGCCGGCAGTGCAGGTACGCCTGGCGGGACCGCAGACACGTGGCATCGGCATGCTCGCCCCCGCTCGACCGTTCCTTCCCCGTGCACGTGCCGGCTTCGTACGCGTGCTTCTTCGCAAGACGATCCAGGATTCGGCGGCGAACAAGGGGGGGTAAGTGAGGAGGGGAAGGCCTTCTCAGAAGGCGGCGGGGCTTCTCAGGAGGCATCCGGCCCTCCGAAAGGCTTGCTATGTATGCGGGGTCGGCTTCGAAGGCTTCTGAGAAGGCCAGGGAGCTCCCGAGCCCTCTGAGGAGGCCCGCACCTTCTCACTGCCCCCTCTCGCTCGGCGCCGAAGGATAGTCCTCGCTGGCCCTCGCAAAGGAAAACATGCACACGTCCGAGCGATCGCAAGCATGCGACGAGGAGGAGGAGGGGGCGGAAGAGGAGGAGGCGGAGGAGGGGGAGCAGGAGGAAGAGGAGGAGGAGGAGGAGGAGGAGGAGGAGGAGTGGAAGGAGGAGGAGGGGGAGGA